TCGACCAGGGATCTGAAAGAAGTTTCATCTCCTCAAAGTCTCAGACTAGATTAAGACTCCCATGCCAGCACTCAAACTTTGAAATCTCAGGCATGGGAGGCAGAGTAGTCCAAACATCAAATAAACTCTGCGCTCTAACCCTAGTCTCCTCTGACAAACGTATTACGATTAAAGCCCAAGCCATAGTGCTCCCACAGTTGACCAGAATGCTCCCGAAATTCCAACTCGGACACAACCAATGTGAAAAATGGGCACGTCTCAAGCTGGCTGATCCAAACTGCCACTCCCCTACCCAAATCGATAGCGATAATAATCCCCCAAATCATGTTGGAAGGGATAGAGAAACTTTCCTAAAACCTACTGGCACAAAATGCTATATTCGGGTGGATTTTGAGTGCTCAAATTCCCGAAACGGTATAAACGTTCTCAACCCAGGTAGAAGAGATCTCGAACAAACATCTAGACTCACAACTGAGAAAATTTTGGGAACTAGAAGAAGTCCCCAAAACTGTGACAACGACAGCTGAGGACGAACTGTGCGAAGAATTCTACAAGTCCACAACCACCCGCTCCAGTGATGGTCGCTATGGTGTCAGACTCCCTTTAAAACAAACTTCCCAGACAAAATAGCCTTAGGTCCATCCCGGATCCGGGCCCTCCAGCAGTTCCTCAGCGTGGATAGGCCCCTTCTCAAAAAAGGTGAGTTAAAATCCCAATACGATAATGTCTTGGAGGAATATATAATGCTAAATCATATGGAGGAAACAAACTCCGATGAAAAAGCCTCAGAAGGCAATTACAAGTCCTTCTACCTCCCACACCATGCCTATAACCTGAAATAAGGACGTCAAAGGTCAGAGTAGTATTTAACGCATCTAAAAATTCAGGCTCCGATAAAGGCCCGTCCACATAGAACTTTGGCGTTGCGTTAGCGTTGGCGTCGCTTCAACAGCTCACTATGAATACATGAATTCAAATGCAGCCGTCCACATAGCCAAAATTCGACAACGCTCTCGCCAACATAAAGCAAAAAGATGGCCAACTCTCAACTTTTCGTGTGCGTCGCTCGTCAGCTGTTGAAAATAAATAAAATTATGTGAAATATTTTTTCTTTTTAATCAAGTGCGGGCAAGAAATATCGTTTTTTATGTTATTATTGATATGAAAATTAATTTACCTGTCGTTAGTATGTTAATTTAGTGGCCCGAGCATTCGCTGCCAAGCATTCATTGTAGCAAGCATACTTTTAACGTGCGTTCTGTCAAACCAACGCTAACGCCAAAGCCAATGCGAAAGTTCTATGTGGACCGGCCTTAACTCTCTCAATGACGTCTTGTATACCGGACCAACTCTCCAATCCAACCTGCTCCTATTAATACTCAAATGGCGTACATACAGATATGTTTTTAATGGCGATGTTGAAAAGATGTATCGCCAAATACCCTTACATCGTGATGTCCAAGACTATCAAAAGATCCCCTTCGCTAATCCACAAATTCTCCAATAAAGGACTACAAACTAAAAACCGAACTTTCGGGGTCAATCGTGCCCAATTTCTAGCCATACGCACTCTTCACGAGTAAGCAAAAGACGTAAAAGGTGTATTTCCGTTGGCAGGTCCAATATTAAAAACCCAAACCTATGTGGATGATGTGCTATCTGGTAGTCATGATCTCAAATCAGCAACAAATTAATTCTCCCAAGTCATCCAGGCTCTCGGATCTGCCGGCTTCCCTCTAAAAAAGATTGCCACCAACCATAATGAAATCCTGGGAAACATAAAAGCAGAAGACTTGATTGATACGAATTTTCTCATATTCGAAAAGGCAAGTACCACCAGAACCTGAGAGACCCTGGGAATGCAATGGAATGCCTTGTCGGACACATTCCCGTACATCATTGAACCCAGATAACAAAATACCAACTCATAGGGTGCGATATTACCGGACCGAGTGTCGATTGATTGCACCGTCGTGCCGGCGAATAAGCAGCGTAATGTGCGCGCTATGGCTGGAGAAATAGCCAGACCGCGATCCGACGCGCGATGTGCCTGCCATAGGCCTGCCCACCGTGC